AAGGAAGGAAGGAAGGAAGGAAGGAAGGAAGGAAGGAAGGAAGGAAGGAAGGAAGAGCTTTTTATTAGAATTACCATACTTGAGCTGCAAAAATCCAGTTGACCACTAGGTGAACACACATTGACGTAGAGAATTTTTAACTCTGCTGCTATTTGCCAAGTATCTGGATTTTTTACTCCAGATATGGCAGCATTATTTTTTAATATTTTATTCATGCTAGACTTGTTATTTTTATTTATTTTCCAGTACTTGTATACCTCGATATACCACTATAATTATATATGCGAAGGAGATTCACAATCCAAGTGATAAAACAGTAATTAAAATCTAGACAGACTACAGTAAAGGGAGCTCCATTTGATATCCCCCCCCCCCCAAAAAAACCCCTATTTCAGATCCAGGTCTTGTGTCAGATTTGACTACCTTTGGAAATCAGGACCTGATTGGACCATTTTTGGTCCTCCATATCATATATCACTGTATAAATATATGTGACATAGCATGAAGGAAACAACTTGGTGGGTGGGCATTATGTTCCCAACAAAAAATACTACATAACCAAATACATAAACATATACACAACTCAATAATTGAATAATTCCTACTCCTGTACAGCAAAACTGCCTGACAAAGAAAGAATAGTGACTCTATAGAAAGTAAACATTATTTAAATCATGATACTTTATCAAACTCTATTTGAAATTATCTCATAAATCAGTTATAGGGAATTTAAGCATATTTTTCCTTTTAGATCCAGCTTTTCTGAGAAATTATGTAAGCTAGCATGAACAAAATGATAGTTATGACAATACTGCTTTTTTGCAGATTGGGACTGCATGTTCAGCACTTAAAAATAATCCTGATAATGAATTCATTACTTTTATGCATATAAGTTGATTTTTTTCTTCTACATTTTTGCATATTCATAAATGGGAGAAGTATCTCTATTTCTGCATCCGAGAGGCGTATAATAGTTTTGAACGAATTTGGGTTTACTTCCAAGCATATTATCTATTATTTAAATACCTACCAGGTTTTTTTTTCAGGATCTTTTTGAACTTAGTGAATGTTCTTTTTAAACATGCTTACTGCTCAAATAACATGGTGAGTTATTATTCACACAAAAAGTTATCATAACTCTGGAAGGTAGGAGAGCTGCATCCTTTTTAGTGACCCTCAACATTTTAAAATATACAAAAGCAAAGGCATGGTCATGTTATTTATATAGAAATATATGTACACAGAGGATTCCACAAGGTTTGGCAGAAAAAGTCAAGATGGTGGCCATGATGGTGACTTGCATGTAAAAATGGGTGGAGCTTTGTTCACATGGTCATGTCCAATGACTTTTTTTAACCATACCTTATAGCCCACTATAGTTATATACGTCAAACTAAAAATTCATTCATTCATTCATTCATTCATTCATTCATTCATTCATTCATTCATTCATTCATGGGATTTATCTACTGCCTCAATTCTCATGGACTTTAGGAGGTTAACTAATTTACATGTTCCTTAATTAGTTAAGAAGTCTAATTTAGCTAATTAAATATTTTATCTAATGGGTGATATTTAAACTATTTGGGACGACAGATTTGGTTTCAATTCTCACTTGTTCTTTTAGCATTTTCTCTCTTTTCATAGTTTATAGTTAGCTTTTGATTTCCTTGAATTTTGGACTGGGGTCATCTGCTAACTCCTCTTCTCAAACATTGCTGGGTGCAATATTGTAGCCTTTCCTATTTCTGGCAAATGCATTGGACTACAACTCTCACTATTGTCACAAGCATAGCTGGAGATGATGGGAAATACAGTCCAAATGTCTAAATGATACCAAACTGGTGAAAGGTATAATATTGCCTTTAAAGTCATATCTTTGTAAGATTAGGTAGGACAATAATTTTACTGTGAAAAAGGAAGAATGAATCTCCACTGACTTTCTGTGAAGCTTTTGAATTGCTAGTGGTTTCATTAATTTATATTGGAAGACTTGAGCCGTCAATTTTTTTTTTTTTGAGCTAATAATTTAGTGTAATTCTTGCCTTGGAGATTTTGCACAGATAGGGGATTAAAGAAAAGGTTAAAGGGATATTGGCTGTTGGCATCAAAATATTGTATGACAATGATTAAATATCTATATGAAAAGCATTCCAGCTTTTAAACACAAATCCACAGATCAATTTTTTTCTTCCAAAGCATAATACCAGTATTTTGTCCTATTATTCTATTATTTCCTAATATGTTGAGTGGGAAGGGAGAATACCAAATTATTATAATAGCAAAAATTGTGATTAGTCTTGCAATATTTATCCACTAGAAATCATCCCCCCTCCCAAAAAAAACCCAAGCTTTTAGCTTTGTCATAATATAAGACAATGTTTTTGTTTAATTGAAACCTCCATCCAATTTTTATAAACAGTGAACTGTTACTACCCAGTTGGATATTAGTCATTTTCTAGAATGAGATTATTAGTCATTTGGAATGAGGAGATAGAATATTATATACTTTTGAATCAGTGGCAAAGGGTCTTAAAATCTTAAATATATTGCTTATAATAACATAATGCAAGTAGTTCCAGGAAAGCCAGCTCCAATTTCCAATAAGTTGGAGATGTAATATTGGAACATTTAACCATAAAATATAGGCCTGTTCAGTTAATATTCCATTTTTGTTTGATATTCAAAATGGTGAATGTGGTGTTATAAAGATCACTATGAGTAAAGGAAGAGAATGAGCTTCTGAATTACATTTTAAAAAATCAAATTTATCATTATAACTGTATTGTGCTTGAGTGAGGGTTAAAACGATGATTCATGCCGGGAAGAAAAAATTACTCTGAATATACAATCTTGGATTATCAATATGTACTCACTTTCTACTTATGAAGTAGCACTTTATTAATGCAGTGGGAAGAATGATCAGTATTACTTTCTGTAATCAGAGTTTAATAATTTATTTAAAAATTAGCCTGAATAATACACTAAGATTTTGTGTGTTTAATGCATTTGTTTTACTATATGCAAAATACAACATAGGGCAAAAAAGAGATGGCATATCTACATTTGAAATGTATACATTTGATATATATTGTTGTTAGTAACCTCTCCCACATTAAAAGATGCATTTTCAATGTGTGTTAGATAAACGAATGAATTCTATATGCATGAAAAATAAATACCATGTTTGTAGAAATAGTACTAAAAATGATTTCCCTGGAACCTGGCCTGGAGGGCTGGAGTGAAAGCAGTGCATGAAAGCGTGAATTGTATTTTTTCCAATTTCCCCAGTGGCTAATGGCAGACTCAGAAGGCAATTTAAATCAAGGAAATGGTGCAAAACAAAGTCTTTGATCCCTGGGCCTCTGGCAGGAGCATCCATGGTTGCTGGGCTGGGGAGAGGGGTTGGGGAAAGGGAAGAAGTGTCTAAGATTTCTTCTTCTGTGACTGCTTTTGATTACAGAAATTAATCATGGGAGCAATTAAATAAATACAATTGTTCCGTAAAATTGAAAAATAACACACTGCAAAATAAAGTGGGCTTTGGTATTCTTTAGAAAGTAGATGATGATGATGGTGATGATGATGATGGTGATGATGATGATGATGATGATGATAATAATTTAACAAAACCATCCTCTGTTTCTTTCTAGGAGTGACTGGGTAACATCTTACAAAGTTATGGTGAGCAATGACAGTCATGAATGGATTGCTGTCAAAAATTATTCTGGAGACATGGTTAGTGTCCCAAAAAATATCTTAACTGTTTATACCCATTCAGCAGTCATTTCCTTATAAATAAGCTGGCCTAATTGCACCATTCACCTCACCAAATTTCAAAGAACCATCAGCAGCTAGAAATGACCAGAAAGTATATAATTAACAAAATCTAAATGAAATTAAGATGCTCGCTGATAGCTGATGCTGCCTTTTGAAGTTCATTGTTGAACACCATTACATACACCTTCCTCACAGATCATGCCAAGTAGTTAAGTAGCTTACATAATCTTCTCAACCAATCTCAAAAATGCAAGTACATTTTTTTAAAAAAATCTCAAGCGAAGGCTGGGCTACTCAAAGATTTCTGGATTCCCTGCCGAGTCTCCTGCCTGCCACTTTGGTCAGTCAACAGAAGCCCATCTCAAGTCATAACTTTTTTGAACAAGAGCACTGAGCTCTACAAGGCAGATGTCTGTGTTCCCTGTTTCCCTGTTAGTTTTGCTATGGCTAGTGCAATACTCCAGACTTTTCAAAGCCTGTGAGAATGTTATTGCACTATTTATAAATGGTGAATTTGTGTTCTGACCATGGTGCATTGGTTTTTAAGACACCCCCAGATTAGCAGCTTCTCTACTAACAGTAACTTCAGGACAGAAAAGCAAACAAAAATTCTTGAAAATGGAGTGACAAGGTACAGTAAGCACAGTAATAGAACTAATGTAACAACTAAGAGAAATTGCAATTATTTGATTTAACAGGAGAACCAATAGTATGTAGAGTCAATGATCCGCAATTGATCTAAAGATCAAATTGGAAAAAACATTCTTCTGTAAAACATCTTTATCAGTATTTACATTCTTGAGGTAGATTTATATCAATAAAAGCATACTCCCAAATATCTAAAATTTCTGTGCATTGTTCTGTCAGGCAGCTTTCAGGCATCTTCTGATGAACTACTGTCTAAGAAGCAAACAAGGGATTTATGCCATTGCCATCCATTTATGGTCTTTCCTGGCTCTCATTCACTGATGCAAGGCCAAAATATAGGATACTTTCAAATCAAATGTGTTTGGCAGTGTTTACCCCCAAATACTATTTGGTAAAAATGTTTACTATTGGATTCACTAATATATTCTCCTCCAGATTTATTGTGCTGGTAGCACTCCCTTTGCCTCATGAGGGTTTAGCTCTGAGTACTCCAGTTAAAGGCCATATGCAGCGCTCACTCTCCCCAAAGAGATTCTCCACCAAAAGGCACAGACTCAATTGATACTCATAGCTGGAAAAATTGGTAGGGTGGGCAATTTTGTTTAATTTGCAAGGCAGTAATATACTACATTGCAAATTAAGATGAAGAAGGGAAGATGAAGTTCTTTCACAAACACACTAATCCGTTTTAATTTTGCTTCAAAGGAGGCTCCATTAAAACTAAAGAAAATGGGATTAGGAGTAATGTTTTCTTGGCTGGGCAATGTACTACCTAATTCATCTTCCAACTTTTCACTGGTTTCAGTTTTTGCTATTAACAATGCCCATTTTTTGTGTTTTTAAATAGATTTTTGAAGGCAACAATGAAAAGGAGATTCCAGTCCTTAATGAATTGCCAGTACCCTTTGTTGCACGTTACATTCGTATAAACCCTCAATCGTGGTATGAGGAAGGAAACATATGCATGAGACTTGAAATCCTAGGTTGCCCCCTCCCAGGTAAAACCATGCTTAGGACCAGACTTGGCATAAAGTCTATAAAAAATATCAAAAGCAAGTTCTGGGTTGATTCCAGGGAGTGTAGTTGCTGAATCTTTTTGGACCAGAGGACATATTAAGAATGTTGAGAACTTCTTGTATATTCTATCACAAAATTGCTTTGATGATGGATATCCTAGGGCAAACTAGTGATTTTTCTCCTTGCCACTTTGTCTAGCTAGCCAAGATACTCCCTACTGTGCCATTTGCCTTTTGGGAATTGGACACAGATCCAGACAAAGCACTGGTTAGCAGCCACCCACCATTTTGATTTTCTAAACATTTCTGAGATATACATGGGGTGCCGAGTCATTAAAAAAAAAAAAATTAAAAGGATGACAGTACTGGTAAATAGCAATGGTAAAATGATTTTCATAAGGTATAAGGGGGATATTATTAGCGTTAACAATACTTGAAGAAGCTAGAGAGGTTACACTGGCTGTTCAGGGTCTTTCTTGGTTTTCTGTTCTACAAATGGGTACAGAATGAGACACAGGGATTTACAGTAGCCTGGAAGGGATAAATATTCTTTTTCTCCTACTTATTCCACAACACAAACACAACTTTCCCCTGATTGTGAGGATATATAGATGGATTTGGTTGGTTTTCAGTATTCTCTTGACTTATTTTTCCTGAAGTTGGAAAGAACGTTGCACCTAAATTGCTTGACCTAAGAAGTATGTGATTAGTCTTGTAGACTTCAACTCTCCCCCTAACCCAGTCCTTCATCTATAGTGAAAATTGCTATTGTAATTTAATGCAGTGACATTCTGAAATAACTTTCTATGTAATAACTGAGTAAGCTGCCCAATTAGATATCTCCTTCAAAAGTATTGTCTATGGATTTAGCAACATGTACAGTAGTTGATATACAGTATCTGTATCAATTACTATGTTATCTGTAGTTTATACTGGTACCTGAAAAGATATAAAAATATTGAATGAGAAGGAAAAACAGATAGGGTAAAGTGGATCAGTTATATAAGGTCACATGCTTATGCTATTACCGATTATTTAAAAAATCTAACTGATGATTAAATTATGACATATCCCTAGAAGAAGCTACATCTATTTCTGTATTTCACAGATCACTGAAAATGTTGCTAATTTTATTTCTGAATGCATGACATATGAACATCATTGTACTGGATAGATTTATCCATTATTAGCTTCTGAGATAGAACTTATTTTCCTAAATTAAGTTAATGTTAATAAAATACATAGATAAGCACATATAAATAACATGCTGTGGATTATAACAAAAATTCCAATGCTTTTAATATAGATATGAATCTGACACCTGAAACAGCAATGTTCAAAAAACAAAAATTAATCTAAAACAAAGACAGACTGAAATATAGAATAGCATGTTCAACTGTCTCCTGTAGTTTCAGTAGGAATTTTTAATCACCACCCTGAATACTTTGATCAGCTCACCACTACAAGGAGATATTATCATCCAATAATTGTTTTGTGAATGATCATGGTCAAAAATACCACTGTTTCTATCTATCTAAAAATATTTATCTTTTTTTTTAAATTACAGACCCAAATAATTATTATCATAGAAGAAATGAAATGACTACAACAGACAACCTAGATTTCAAGCATCATAATTACAAAGAAATGAGGCAGGTAGGATGCAAAGGAGAAAAAATGTGTATACAGTTCCTTGAGCAGGAAAGGAAGCGGCATTACTGAGAATAAGTACCCTGAAGAAATGTGGGGAAGAAAAAGACAATGCAGACAGTTTAAATCATAGTAATGGGTTGTTTGGTTTTATATAGCCTTAGGTATAGCCATTAAGCTCCATAGGTTTTAAATTAATTGGCTGTGCTTACTGATTGATTTCAAGCGTGCTTCAGAAAACTGTCAAAAGCTTAGTTGAGTATAACAACTGGGAACATAATTTAGTCATAATAATTTGAAAATTATGTTGTCAAAAATAATTTGACAACATAATTTGTCAAAATAATCCTCCCAACTACTTTATCCCAAATTCTTCCATTTCGAAGGGGACATTGTTTTTCCTGCTTCTTTCTGAATAAGGACCTTTTTGTAAACATTTATATGGGAGACTGGCACGTACTGCATTGTGCTTCAGGTGGTTCAGGGTTACTATGACACCAGGTTCTCCTTATACAAACTTAGATTTATCAGAGCTTCCTGGAATGCCTGTATGATCATGCATTACCAACTTCCTGTGACCACACATTACTGAGCTAAAACTTAGGAAAAGCCTTCTTCATGCAGTGATTTTTCCTATAGAGATTTCATTCCTTGGAACAATTCCTAGAAAACTCTTGTGATTATGCAACATTGATAAGTTGAATGAAAGGTCCTAGAAGCTCAGCCAGAATCAAAGCCACCATGAAGAGACCTGTGTACTTCTGTGCTGTGTTACATGCGGCCTAATGTTAAAGTCATATTTTCTATTCAAAATCATTCTGGATTCTGTTTTTCTTATAGGTGCTCTGTGCCCAAAATGCTGGAGAAATCTGAATTTTAAGAATTGTAGTGCAAACTAATCGGATGTATGCAACTTGGATTATTAAATTGTGAATTAAAATGTAGTCATTCACCACCTTTCACACTTCTTTTTAACTCAAAAAGTATCAAAGTAGGTTTATAAATGTCTATTTTGAGGTAAAATAAGTTTAGGAATTAGTTAAAATACATATTAAAATATCAGGTATCCCTTTATATAGATTTTTTGTGCAAATATATGTTAGCAAATTAATGTGGGTATAGTTTGGAACAGACATACAGAGTACAGGTAAAAATGAACAATTGGTTCTTCAGACTTCCCTTCTCTTATAATCTACATCACTGAGCATTTATCAGAGTGGTTTTATCTATTAGTTAGAATACCTTGAAGTGGTTCTGATGATTCATCTCTGGCTAAGCTCTGGCCAGCAAAGAGAAAAATTTCAAATCTCTTCATTCTTTTACAGTGTATGAGATTTAAAAGCAGACAAAGAAAGAAAGAAACAAACTTCCCTTCTCCAGCCGATACAACCAATGGTGAGGAGGGGGAGAAGAACCAATCAAATGGCTAAAATCTAAGGCATGACAGAGGCTGGAAGTGGGACTCCTCTGATTTCATCATTTCTACTTTGGCAATTTTCTGAGATTGTTAATTCCTGATCTCCAACCTGGGGAGGAGATCTAACATTCCCCCTTTTTTCCCAGCCTGAAGGACAGAAACTCTAAATAGCTAGGATTTTGTCCCAGAGAATGTAATATTTCTCTCTAAATTAATGAGTGACGTATAATATGCTTGAGTAGAAATGTGCAGCAGAGCAAGGTTTTTCAAACTATATTCTGTGGCAAAGGATTTGATGGGGTTCTGTGAGAGGCTAAAAGCAAAGGGTGAAAAAAAAAAAACTCACTTGAATGTAGCCTGGGGCAAACATAGCAATTTTTCTAAGGTACAGTGGAAAGTATGGGATTTGTTAGCTGAGGAGGGCATTTGTGCTCAAGATGCTCATCTGGAGTTTCAAGAAAAAAGGAATAACAATTTCCACAGCCTGAACAAGTTTGAGAATCCCTGAAGAAGAGGGCCTTGCCTCATGGTCCTATAGTCTTGATTTGTTTCTACTAGTTAAATGAGTAGTAGAATTCACGCAGAGTTTGCAGGTAGCATGAGAGGCAACAGAAGGTAATACATACAAACACCAAGATTCACATAGATTTAAGTCCTTCCCAGTTTATGTTTAGACCCACCAATTATAATGATGTTCTTAGCTTTAGGCTCATTGATTAATATTCCTGTTGATTAATATCATCGGCAATGTAGGTGTAGAATGTACTAAAGATTTCTTCCTATCTTATTTTTCAAATATGTAAGTATAATATGTTTAGAAATGAAGTATGTGAATCATTTTAGCGTATCAAAACTTCACCATATTTATCCTGAATGAGTCATCATTCTTCTTCCTTTTTTATTGAACAATTGTGTACTGAATCACACTCTGTTCACAAGAGATTTCATGGCCTGTATTTCCAACAGACAGATTAGATGAGTAGAAACTCAATTGACATAATTAGTGTCAAGAACAATAACTCTAAAAGCATTTTAGATCCTAAGGTCGGTCAGGTAGAAAAAAATATATTGGTGGGAATCTAACATCTTAAAGCAAGGGGAAAATGATCTCATCAGGCCTTATATAAGGAGTGAAAAAGTTGTGATTAAACAGTGGCTATAACTAGCCAGTGGAAAGCTAAATTCCCTATCAGTATTCTCTGCTTCTTTAAGAGTTTTCAGAGTGTTTTTGTAATATAGCAGTTCATTTTCATTTATAGTGATGGTTTTCCACATAGTCCAAGTGTTTCCTTTAAACACTTGTGAGCAAGCAGTGGTTCAATAAATCAAAGAATTGTGTATATTTGAACTGGCCCAAATGTTTGCTTTTCAGGCAAAAAAAAAAAAAAGGAAAAAGATAATTCAAAGGTACCAAATTATGTCCTTTAAGTCTAATGTTCAGCCTTCTTAAAACTGTTTTTCCTGCTTTCTGCTGACATCTTTTTCTCCTGCCAATAATGTGGTACCATTCCCATCATTTCAATACTTTATTCTTTGTTTACCTCCTCAAGATGCAAAAACTGTTTATTTTTAATGTTTTTGTTTCATTTTCAAGACACATGTTTATAAGGGAACTGCTGCACAAGAAACATATTTTTAGCCCAGTGCTCTGCTTTTTGTACAGAAACCAAGAAAGATAGGGTGGAGAGAGGCCAGGAAGATGCAGGTGAGAAGACCGTGTGTGATAGTAGAGCTAATGGATTGCAAAGATGCTTCCCACCACTCTTAGAAGGAACATGAAGAGGCTTCTTGCTATGAAATATTTGATTTTTAATATCATTTTTATAGACATTTCTATGTCATCTGTTAGCAGGCATTTCAAAAGCAATGTCACTGAAGGTAATGAAAGTCAATTGATTTTTTTTTTAAATCAATCAGCCACATGGGTGACCCCTAGTCATCAAATCACTAATTGCTTCCACTCTCTATGGGGGAAAGACTTTCAGCCTCTGAAAATAAACACAGACAACCGACAAATACACATACGCTCCTATAGATTATTAAATGTGGATACTTTTTAAATGCTGGTAATAAAGATATATGTGAAAAACGCCTGCTTCTCTCTCAGCCCTAGCATTCCTCCACTGGCAAAACATATGTATAACCAGGTTTCCTTGCAAGCCCAACATGAAGCTCCCAAAAGTCTAGGAATAACTAGTATATCTCTGAGTCATATATACAATTACTTTGTCGTATATACACAATTACTTTGTAACTGAATGTGTGGCATAGAAAAGCAGGGCTGTGCTTGTTGGTCCTATCCATACTACCTTATGCCTTGCTGACTGGTCCATGCTGTCCAAATATTGTGGTAAGTTCAGAAGAAAGGAGCTAGATATGACAAATCATCCTGTGGCCTGTGGGCCTTCTCTCCAGATGGTTCTGGGAACATGGCATCAGGGATGAGGTTCAGACAGTAGTCATGGTCTTGATTATGATCACTGACCAGAATTCTGTTGGTTAACAAAATAACTAAAATAATTAAACAGCTTCCATTTCAAATGAAATAAAAAAATAAAATTATAACTAGGTCACTGAGGCTATTAGGGTATGCCTAGCTTTACCGCAGGATAACAAAATGTAGCCATATCCAAGGACACGAAATATACTGATTTGATAAAAGCAACCCAATATAAAATAAATCTGATTTGTCTGGGTACTTTGCCAAATAAGGAGTTACAAAGCATGGCTTTCTGTCCTTATAGAAGACACAATTTAACAGGACATGAGCTATGGATTCAATGGGTTTTTTCCACAAGGGCACAATCTTAGCTCATAAGTATTTTTTAAAATAGGTATTTGCCATCAAGAACAACTATTGAAAAGTCATTTGGACAGTTGTTTGTCTTAAGTATCATGCTGATCTAAAAAACAGAGATTTGACTACTCAGGAACACATTCTTGGGTAGGGCAGAGGGATCTAATTGGGTTTCCCAAACTCTAGCATGTTCCTTAAGTGCAGTAAATGCTTAATCATTTTATCAGAAGGGCTTTTTCAGAGAATCCATAGCTGTGCAGATTTTGAAGGGATATCATGTTGATTCATAATTGTCTGCAATCAGCTTCTGAACAATAACAAAAAAAAAATTTAACCAGTGGGCCAATTTCTACTTTTGTCACACCTGCCTTTTTGCTAAGTTTGTGTGTGCCTTTGAATCAGTGTTGACTCCTGCAACTGCCTGGACAAGTCCCTGCAGTTTTCTTGGCATGATTTCAAAGAAGTGCTTTGCCATTGTCTCCTTCCTTGGGCTGAGAGAGAGGGACTGGCCCAAGGTCACCCAGCTGGCTTCATGCCTAAGGTGGGACTAGAACTCACGGTCTCCTGGTTTCTAGGCTGGTGTCTTAACCACTACACTAAATTCTCTCTCTCTCTATTTTTCCTACGTACCACATTAGATATTCATATAACAGTCATGGGACCACTTGAAATATAGGGCTTAAGAAATTAGATTGAACCCTTTTCACAGGGACAATCTACTGAATTATATGTTCCCAACTGAGCACCAAATAAATGTTTCTCATGCACCGGAGCCAGATAGAGCTTTAACTCTGCTGGGATATGTGGATGAAGCAGAAGGATTTCATTGCTGCTGCTGATTTTTGTCCATTTGGATTTACACAGTTTTGGTGTGCCGTGCATTTGGTAGAGCTATGAAAAACTATACCCAAACATTTAAAGACTTTGACCTGCACTATCATCTGGCCATTTAGCAGCTAGGCTTGCACTCTAGTTTGCCCTGCAAAAATTAAGATCTTAGTTTCAGTCTAGTTAATCTGTGAAACAATGTAGAATGGAATGGAGCCTTGGGAATGGAGAAGAAACAACCTGTTAAGGAAGGATTGTCAGAAATGATTTCTCACTCCTGAGAGAGAGGAAAATAGGAGAAAGAAAATAACCTTGTCTTATTTTGTATAAGATGAAGAAAAGAGAGAAGCTCTCATGGACTCTCAAGATTAATGTCAATCCTTCAAAGTAGGCAAGGTTAAGAAACAGGTTCAGCCTGGATTTCAAAAATGCTCTTTATTGTTGTACAGTAGAATAAAAGATGATTAATTTATCTACCATTTTAACTAATCACATCAATTGGCATAAGACATATATGATTACATTTTTCCTATTAGCAGTGAATCTCAGCATGTAATCTCTGCTGACATACACTAATATGTGTCTGAAATACACTTGCAGTTAGAATTTTGAAATGAGATAACTGACTTTCTCTGCTTTTCATTTCCTTCCAATGATATATTTGATCTTTTCTGCCTGTACCACTGCACATTAACAATGAATATATCCCTCTTATTTTGCACCAGTATCCTCTCAGACCTTCCAGTGCAACTGCTCTTCCTTGAACAAACAAATTTGCAGTTTTTCTATCTCCACTTCATCTTATCTCCTTAGAAAAGCAGGGGTTTACAGCACTCGATGAATATTTCAGATAGCAATGAACTATAGGTGGGGAACCTTTATCCCTCTGGATGTTACTAAATTATAACTCACATTACAAAGTTCTGTGGGTATTACTAAATGCATTGTAATTTTCTTCTCAGGACAAATATAAACAATGGAGAATATGTGATTTAAGCCTATGTGGTAGGCAGGAAAGAGGAATGAACAGGTTAGAAATAAGTTCAGCTTTTTGTTTCCTAGCACAATATCTAACAAGTAGGAAAAACATGCAGGTTGGGAGCTGTTAGTGGTATCTATACTTCCCCTCTTCATTTTGATCCCCTTTTTTCTGGGTATTAAACCTGATCAATGAACCTCCATTTGAATCTTGCTTCCTTGTTTGTGTGTTGCTGTTAAGAGGCTTGATATTAATTGTGAAAACTGAAGGGCTAATCTTTTCTCAGATAAGACTGAAATGTTTATCTGCTTTTCATCTGTTAAATTTTAAGATACCCCCTTTTCTTCCTTGGCCTCTTACACAGGGTTCCCAGAATCTGCATAGCATTTTTTGGCAAAATGGAATACATTCTGTAGCACCATCTCCTGACCCTGTAGTATTTTGCTAGGAGATTGGGCCTTTCTTCCCCCTCCCCTTCAGAAAACAAATCTCTTTTGCAAGAGAGAAATAAAATTAAACTTTATTTTTAAAAAGGCAAAGGGAAAAAAACCCATATAAATCCATTTGCAGCTTTAAGTAGTTACATATAAACATCCATTGGCAAAGGACATAAAAATATACAGAATTGTTCAAATCATACATTGTAACTACAGGGGAAATATAAGGCTCTGAACAGACCATAAGGTCTCCTTATATTAGAGATAACTCTGCTATAAAGAAATTCCCATTATATAAAATACCCCAATTACTAAGCTGTACAATGAACTCGGATACAGAGATGATAATGCTTAAATAGTGACACACACTGAAAAATAAAGATTATTTTCTTGTCACAGCATCTGTCCTCTGGAATAGCATCCCCTAGAAATCCACGTGGCTTCAACCCTGATGGGGTTCTGGATGTCCTCAGAAACCTGGCTATTCTCCCAGGCTCTAAAGTAAAGAGGTTGTTGAGGCCCTGGCAGGTGTATTTCGTGAAGTGTTTGGAATTTGTACCCAGACATGTGTGCTCTTCCTGTTTTATTTTATTTTATTTACTGTCTATCTCTAGTATCCAGCTTCTCTTTTTCTTTTTTAAAAATACTTATTTTTCCATCTAGCAAAGAAGAAGGTTGGTGGGGGTACTCTCCTTGAGTATGGGACCTGAAAGCATGGCTCAGTGAGCTGCAATGTTGATTCAACTGAGAGATGGTTTAACTGTTAGTGCAAGGTGCAGGGTGGGCTTACCCATCCATTCACAAGGGGACATGTCATCACTTGTCAATAATAATAATGATAGTAATAATAGTAATAATTTGTTAAACGTGCATGCCTCCCAACTCTCAATGACTCTGGGTAGCTCACATCAATCAAACAAAGAAATTAAAATAAAATCAACAAAACATAAAAAAATAAAGATAAAAAAGCAATAGCCAGTTATTCTTCACCGAGAAGGAGAAAGTAAAAAGAATAAAAGCTGTTTTTCTCTCCTTTGAGGGTGATCGATGATTGGCAATTGGGCAGCGATAACAAAACCTGATGTTACCTGATTTCAGTGACCATTCTTTATTACTCAGCCTAAATTTAGTTATAACATTAAATGTTATAATTTCTCATTGAAGTGTCCTTGTTTGTTACTCCTTCATTCCTTTAGCACATTGAATTAGAAGATCTGTTATTGGCAGTGTCAATTATCCACGAAGCAGCACATGTTTATTTTATTTATTTATTTATTCAATTTATATTGGCCACCCATCTCAGACCAGTTACTCTATGTTCCTACTCTATGTTCCTACTCTATGACCATACATTCCTACTATATGTTTAAATAAATCTTCATACCAAAGATGGAAGCAAGAAGTGGAAGAGTGATTGAGTTACGTTTTGCTGTCCTGAAGGATAATTTCCAAAATATTCATCTCAAATTTGTCAGTAGCAAATACTATTGGAAAAATAAGGAATATGGATGAAACAGATAAATAGATGGAATGAATCTGGTTGAAGACTTAAGTCAATCACTGAAAGAAAATTCATCATAAGTTGGCTCACAGCATTACATTCTTCTCAAAAATTGTGGTTGGCTTCGATTTGCCAACTTCCTTCTGCAGTCTTGAGTACAATGTGAATTAAGATTCAGTTAGGTCAGTGTTTGTCAACCTTAGCAACTTTAAGTCATGTGAATTTCAACTCCCAGAATTCCCTGGCTGGCTGGGGAATTCTGGGAGTTGGTCCACATGTCTTAAAGTTGCCAAGGTTGAGAAACACTGGCTTAGTTAATGGTTCTTTTAAGGAATTTATGCAAGAGTTTCTTCCAGAATGAGAAAAGAAGAAATAACTGTTATTATGAATTCAATGTATTATTGTTCATAATAATATTATAAATTCATAATATTTGCCCATGAGTGAATTGACCTAGAAATGAATTATAATTGTTTCAGTTGTTAATAGGTGTGACTACATATTAGAAGAGACTAGTCTATTTTTGCAAACACATGCAAAACAGAAACAGTATTTCATATACCAAATTCCAGTTTGTAATACACCTTGTAGAAATAGAAAAAGAAGAAAAATGTCAACCTTTTTTATTCTATAAAGGAAGACTAACAATTATTATGTTTACATTATTTATATACCTCTCTTATTAATTTTTTTACATCTCTTAGGCCAAATTCTCAAAGAAGTCAACAGACAGTAGTACATAGATTATGACTGTATGAAGCTTTGATTTAGAAATTCAATTCCAGGGTGAATAAATTAAGTGTCCAAATTGAATCAACTTGCCAAACCAGGTCAGCAATTTTGAGTGAATCACTAAATGTAATGAGATGCCTCAAATCAATCTGGAAAATGGAATTAGCTTGCTTTTCCAACTTGAATTCAATCCTTAAATCAAATCAGGTCAACAATCCAAGTTGAACTGACAGTTTGATTTGGATCCAAATTGATGTGCACTTCTAACACAGTACAAAAAGTAAGGATGAGGTAAAAGCTTGAATCCATTTCCTAGCCAGTTATTTATATAAATATCTTCCTTTCTTTGTTTTTTACAGCTGATGAAGGTGATATATGAGATGTGTCCAAATATCACAAGAATTTACAATATTGGAAAAAGTCATCAAGGGCTAAAGCTGTATGCTGTTGAAATATCAGACAACCCTGGAGAACACGAAGTTGGTTAGGATTACATTCTGACAAAAATAACAGTCTGAAGGCTTTGGGGTGATGTTTTTGGAATGTTTAAAATGTTAATATTCCCCATGTTTATAGCGCTAGCTAGCAGTTAAGACATGTGCCTTTAGGACAGAATTGCAAAATATGTGGGAGGAATTTTAATTATATTTTCCTAATTAGATAAAATTAAGATAAATATAAATATAAACCATCTAAAGATAAGGATCAAATTTCCCAATGTTAATCATATATATTTTTCTTTACAATGAAATTGTTAATATTCAGAAATATGTACAGTACTTAGTGTTCTTATTGCTGATGTCTATTCATCTAGAGTACCGAAACCCAACATGGTGTCCTCTAGATTTGATAGGTCTTACAGTTCCTTGAATATAAGTCTCTAAATAAATAAATCAGTAAATAAATCTCCAGCCAGAATGACTAAACTGACACATTAATACTATATACAATGCTTTCAAAGAAAGAAAATAAAAACTCTTCAGACTTCTACTGGAGGCAACTATTCTAAACATTGTCTCATTTAATGGTTCTTAAATGGTTCCTACAGCTTAAAAAGGACACTAAATCAAGTGAATAATATGGCAGATGTCTAAAAATATGCTCACGTTAGTACTTCAGATTCAACTGAATATGACCTCCTGAGTTAATTCAGACTCCTTTGGACAGATTCTGTGGTTCTAATGATGTGAAATAGGAGAATCTCCTTGAAATGAATGGAATTACGTCTTTCTGAGCAATTTTTTACTCTGGTCCCCCCTCCTCAAATAACGTTTTGATTTTACTTCTGCAAGAAGGAGAGATGGAGAGTGGAGTCGAATACAGTTAAGTTGAATTAGTTGAGTTGAGTTGAATGACTGACAAATCTATCTTCTAAACCTAGGAAATAGTTCACAGGTCATTTTCCAGATGTAGTGCTTTGAGGTTAGCTGCCTACATTTAGTATTGAGATGCTTTATGAAGCTGCTGGTCAAGATCTTTACACTGAATACACACACACACACACAAACACACATACACCTTGTATTGCAAAACAAACAGAACTAAGTCTATCAAGGTTGTTATCTGATATTATTAAATGTAGATATAACTTATTAAATCTAATCATGGATAATGCCAGGGTTCATTCTGTCTTTTTTCTTTACTGTGTTTTGGGCCTGACAAGAAAATTATTTTTGTTATGTGCTAGGAGTCATATTGCAAAAATCAGCAGGATAACTTTCTTGCAGCCATAGGTTATGCTTTAATTTAGGGAGGGTCCCCCTAGTGCCACAAAGCATATGGGCAGTGGTTAGGATTTAAAAGACGAAAGGGATGTCTTAAGCTGAGAAAAATTGCTCCAGTTTTTGGAAATAAAAATGTTTCTTCTAACTCCATCCCCCAACAACAAAAACAAAAGTCTTATCTAAAAGAGATGCGAGGATGAATGTAGCCCAGAACCCATGATTGCTCACCTCTGATGTAGCAGATGTGGAAGAAAGACATATGATCACAGCCAGGAACTCAATTTTCTGTCAAACAAGGGATGACAAGTAGCAACATTAACTTAACCAACAGACATATTACTCTGTTCTCTGAAGTCAGGTAAATAACCCTGTAAACTGTTCCTCAGAAGAACATCAGCAATGAAAAGAGAGCTCCCTTGAAATCTCTTATTTCAAAATGAAGGCTATGTTGAAAATATCCAAACAGACTTGGAGGCCAAATAAAAACATTTCAAAATGTATAGGATGAAGATGAAAACCCTATAAAATGGTTTTCTTTATCTCTCTTATTGCTTTTTATAAACTTTAAAAAAGGTCTGCAGGGCTCACAGTAGCATAGGGCTCGTATTACAGCTTCCCAGTAATTTCATGCCCTTCAATGTGTTTTTGAGAGCAGTGCTCCAACATGTGACGTCATATTGCTCCAAAGGCACTAAAATGGCTGACTGGAAGCGGCAAAAGTGTTACTGCACAAGATCTGCAAGTGTCAGTTCCTTGGAAGCAACATGATGTCACATCACATCCAAAGCATTCTGGAACATTCCACTGGCAAGAAGTATTGAGAAAGCTTTCTATCACACAGAAGCAGCATGGGACTTCTTAAAACATTTTTGAGAATGAGAAGCAAAATAAAATCCCTTGGGTACTCTGTACGTTTTTATAAATCAGCATCAAACTCTCCAATAAATTAGAAATCCAACTTTTACTTTCAGGGTAAGAATAAGTTGCAAAAATGGACAAAATTAAGACACTAGACTGATTACCAATTTCTTTGTTTTGAATAGGTGAACCTGAATTTCGGTACATGGCAGGGGCTCATGGGAATGAGGTGCTTGGGCGTGAGCTACTGCTTCTGTTAATGCAGTTTATGTGCCAAGAATATCTTGCTGGGAATCTGCGCATTAAGCGTCTCATTGAGAATACTAGAATTCACCTTCTTCCTTCAATCAATCCAGATGGATATGAAAAGGCCTATGAAGGGGTAAAGTGGTAAAACATCATGACAAATGCTATTTTCAAATGTAAAAGAAAAAAATAAAGTAAAAACTCCCTCAAGTAGAGCTCAACTTTTAGTGCCTACATGAAAATGTCTGTGTAATTTTGGGAGGGCAGCAATATACAAGTGGTTTCCCATTGCCATCTTCTTATTGACTTCCCAATCTAGTTTAGAGAACAATATTTTCTGGTAGTGATCCATCTAAGTATTAATCCATGCTGTTTTCAAGATCTGCTAGATGCCTGAGCATGGCTCAATTTGTGGGGAGGCGGATTTTCTTTTTTAACTGTAATATGCATATTGTAAGCATATGCACATTACTGCGGTTTTCATATGCTTCCACCTTAAAGTAATCTGACACTTTGCTGTCCATTTTTTTAGAAATCATGAGAAATTAGAGGCACATCTTTTTCCTGGAGCTTTCTTTAATTTGGATATAACCCAAAATGAGATGCTTTTTTATGTTTACTTCATTCCCTTAAGTAATCACTATAGGCATTTCCTGTTGCTAAATGTTGATGCCAAATTGTCGGCATCGTATTTTGAAATAACATCTGTATACCAAGATTCTACTTTCAAAATAGGAATAGTTTGGACCTTTAAGAGATTTTTGTGGCAGCTCTTATTGGATGTTATTTGATCAGTCTTTTCTTTCTTCCAGTAATTCACTTAACCTGAATCTTGATCAAGCATTTCTTTAGTGGCAAAAATGCCTATGCAGCATATTGTGCAATTAAAAGGAAAAAAGAAAGGCAAGAAGAAGCAGTGAGGAAGATCTTCTTTAGACAGACCTTTGTTGTTAAAATGGGCATAAAGAACTTTTTTTTTTCTTTTAAACTAGATATGCTAGTTGTTTCTAAAGATAGCATCTTACAGGAATATTGTTGTGCTCCTAATTTTTTTAATCTTCATGTTCTCAATCAAATCAGTTATTATATTTAATGCTGAATAGAAATGCATTTACTAACAGAATAGAACAGGTGTAAAATCTCCCCCCCCCTCCGCCCCCCGGTCTCCTGGTATCATCTTGTTGAACATCTTTTATATTACTGAATCAGTATAATGCAGTACTTCAACCCAGTCCACTCCTGTGGGGAAAAAGGCATTTCACTTAGTTAAGGTGACGTTAGGACACGAAAAAAGTTGAATAATTAAACAGAAAAAGAGAGAGTCAAGAAGATCCCTATGTTTTGCAGTGGGTTCTTTTTCTTTATGCCTGATCAGCAGAAAAAAAGAAGGCAACTTAAACTGTCAGCAGCCAAGCTGTGACACTGTGTGTCTAACCTTTGAGCAACCTCTCTCGATGAAGTTAATATAGCCAAATGTAGGATAATGTTCATACACACACACATTGTATAATTGAAACAGAATGTTGTACCAGAAGAAAGGCTGCTAGGTAAATTAAGAATAATTCTGGCCATTCTATTAACAAATAAGTTTCTTTATCCTTTTCTTCTTTCACTTAAGGCTGTTCTGCTTTCAGATGAGCAAAATTATGTGGAACATACGTTTTTAGATATTTGAAGAAATGGAACCTGTGTGGGAAGTTGTCGGGAGGATGAGAGAGTAGAAATGCCCATTGGCAGCCTATCTTATAAATGGCAACTCAGCCCAGGTGGCATCTCAAATGTTCAGAGAGATTTTGCCTTAATGAATTTCCAATATACTATATTTACTCCAGGCTAGCATTAAAAATAACTTACTCAAATCTATATAACTCTTGCTTCCTTGATCTTGTGTAGCTATGTTGGGCTTGACAAACGATTACACTGAAGAAAATAATGTGTAGAATTGTCCTGCATTTGAAAATAAGAGGAGGGAATTCTTTAAACTGGAGTAGGGAATCTTTGGATCTTCAGGTGTGGATAAGCCATATCTTTCAGTACCCCACACAGTAGGATCCAGTGATGAGGGATACTAGAAGTTAAAATTCAGTAGCATCTGGACAATCACAGTTTCCCCATTCTATGTATCTAAAATCTTCTTCAGGCCAACCTGTTTTTTTCATGGACATGCTCTTGTAGTTTCTTGGCAATGATGCAGAAGGAGTTTGCCCTTGCCTTCTTTCAGGATATTATTCAATTTCCTAGTGTAGCCTATGGCCTTGGAATGTTCTGAGGGTCTCCCATCCAAATTCAAACCATGTCCAACCTTGCTTAGTTTTTCAAGCTCAGCCAAGGTTAGCTAGATGCTCCCTCTCCATTAATTTATCAGGTATCATGTTAGTATTTCTAGCTAAAATCATTTTGACAGCCCAGCATCACATTTCTGGGGATCAATTATGCAGAAATTCATTTGGGGCTGCGTCCAAATTCAATTACAATTCAGTGTTGTTGTTTTTATTATAAAGTGGCATTTTATGTTTTGACAGAATTCACATTCCTTGCTACTTTAATGGTATAAAAATTGGGACATTTGTACCCCAGTAATAACAGAGAAAAGAAAAGAAAGATGCATCATATCCAAAAGCATACTGAGAAAGAAGTCCAAGAAAATATCAAAGTGTTGGGAATAAGGGAATAAATGTGAATTAAATTAGACACATTCCCCTAGTTGTTCAAATTATAATGTTGAGAAAAGCAAAGTATGTGATGCAAAAGAATGTGATATTTTGGTCAATCCATCTTCATAGCTAAAATGACTGATTTTACCATGAATGCAGGAGGTTAGTTTTATTATTGTAAGAAAGGTACATAGAGTTTGTCATTATATTCCTACAGTAATTGCAGTTATAAAATAAGCTAAATAATCTGATCACTGCATTATAGGGTTCTGAATTAGGAGGCTGGTCTTTAGGACGATGGACTCAGGATGGTATTGATATCAACAATAACTTCCCAGATTTAAATACACTCCTCTGGGAGTCCGAAGATCGGAGAAGGCTTCTGAGAAAGGTCCCAAATCATCAAATTCCAATTCCAGAATGGTATCTATCTGAAAATGCTACAGTAAGTGGAAATTCTACAAAGATAAATATCAAGCAGTTTGGAGTAGTTGAAAATTATCTTAATTCTTTTCGCTATAAACTTAATCAGGTTTCATACATAAAACAGCACATCGCATATCACAGGGCTTATGATTTATATTTTTATAAATTAATGTTTTGCAAATATGGGTACAGACCTTTCTGTAATCTACTTCTAATGTTGTCATCTAAAATATAGATTTCAAGTACATTATAATCCATATTTATTTTGTCCTGATTTTTTTTTCCCATATCATTCTGATAACTTTGGGTTAAAAATTTTCCAGTAGGACAAGAACCAGGGGTGCTTGCAGAATATGATTTTTAAAAAAAGTCAAATGGCAGCCCCAACAGTGTGATTGAAGCTGCACCTTCTTTTATGTGCCCCATCTTGACTTTTATGGCCATACCCTGCAGAGACCCCTGAAGAACTTTTTGCAATAATATCTTCAATAATATTGCTCATGGCAATGCCACAGTGACTTGTGTCAATTGTTATTAATGTCAGATGTAACACTGTTACTTTGCCTGTCCTTGTCATATATTAATGCCAAACACTGTTTCCTGTAACTTAAGATAGCCGATTTCAGGAGATATGAGGAGGAAACTATTACCTGCTAAAAGAGAGGTGTTTAAACACTAACATTCTTGTTAATAAAGAATAAGTGTGGTTCAGATTTGGCAGAAATCCAGAAATTAACACAGTCGGTTCCAACAGATTTGGGAAATGTGTAGTTTGAAGCTGGGTTCCTTCAAAATCTGAATCTAAACCTTCGTAAAACTCCTTTAGCAACTCCTTATTTTTCTGTCAGCAGAATGTATTTGTATACATTTATTTCCAAAGTGGTTTGGGAATCATATCTGTTACAATCTGTTTCTGATTTTGATTATGGTGGGATGTTTATGATCATTTTTAGCAAGAATTGCTAAAACTACTTTTTACATTCCTTTCATCAAGACATTAGTTTTCTCTGACATCTTCTGCTTGCATTTGTTGACTATTCCAGATTCCACAATCAAAGCAATGTGAAGAACCAAATGCACATTGTTGCCTTTGGATTATAACGTTGCCATTGTGTCTATTTATTCAGAGAGTCTTCAGAATTTGTCTTTGGTCTCTTGAAAAGCTGGGTTAATATTCTCCACTCTCTCCCTTTCACAGGTGGCAGTTGAAACACGAGCTGTGATAGCATGGATGGAAAAGAATCCTTTTGTGCTTGGAGGGAACTTACAGGGAGGCGAGCTTGTAGTTGCCTATCCCTATGATATGGTCCGGTCAGTCTGGAAGACACAGGAGCACACACCTACTCCAGATGACCACGTGTTTCGATGGCTGGCCTATTCGTATGCCTCTACTCACCGACTAATGACAGATGCTCGGCGAAGGGTATGCCATACGGAGGATTTCCAGAAGGAAGACGGAACAGTAAATGGAGCTTCCTGGCATACTGTGGCGGGAAGTAAGTGGTGGTTGAAAAATAAATTTTTAAAAACCTCTCAAACTTTTAAATAGGTCAGATTTATTCTTTGTTTTGTTGTCCTAACTGTACGTTGAATGGCAGTCATCTGCTTAACAGAATGAAAGCAAGACTTAATAACTGTCTCCCTCTGAGTTTTGAAAGATGTTCCTGGGCTGAGGCAATGCTACCAGGTGTTCAGCACTGTGGTCTTGATTCTTGTTGGGCTTTCTACATTCATGCTTTTATGGCATAGTGGGTTTAAATGATATCTGTTCTACAGAAATAGAACAGAGGCTACACAGCAGTTCAAACAATAGGTATTTAATATGCATCTAAAGGAAGGAAAATGAGAGAACCCATTTATGTATTGCCATAAGAACAATTTGTGTGAATAAAAGAATTGCAGGAGCAAGATGCAGTATACAATGAAACTATAATTCCTGACAGATAGTAATCCTGATGTACTTAAGAAATTGTCCTCAACTTTTTAGAGGTGATGTGCACATCTGAAATGTTGAGCATTTGTCATGCACACATTATACAAAATGGCTGCTGTAGTGGGCATAGCCAATCTACTAAATGCAATTTTTGAAAAATCTGAAAGATTAACTGATGAGTTTGCTCCATACCACTTCTCTAGCTTTCCAAAATAGTCTCCATGAACTCAGTTTATCATCTTTCTGGGAAGATAGGCACAATTCCATACTGGATTGTAATATGAACTGGACTGCAATCACCTCCTATTTTATTTTCTAAGAATGTCTCTGCTGACCATATTGGGCCAGAAACAGAGGAAAAACCTAGTACATTCATTAATTAGAAACACAAAAATTTAAACAGCAAAACATAAAGCATACATTCCTAACCCATGGATTTATCATCATGCATAATTAAAATCAGAAGAGCTCCACAAATCAACCAATACAATTATAATTAGCTAGAAGAGAAACATTGAATTCTCAGTGGGAGTGCTATAAGAGGAACAATATAGGAATGTGTTGGCTGATTCCAGTTCTCCTTTACCACATAGACATGCTTATCCAGTTTGGAATTTGACTAAATCTGCTAGCAACCAAAGCTGGTGGGAAGGTCCTAGTAAAACCTTGCCCAAAACTTGTTCACACAAATAAATAAATATCAAATTAAAAGGTGTTTTGTAGCAGTATGCCTTTTCTACCTAACACCCAAACACCTCTGCTGGATCTCTTTATAACTTGGTGTCCCTGACCTGTGGCTTAATCATTGCCTTAGCTGTATGGAATCCCATTATTATCACAAGTTCTGGCTAAAAAGTAGAGGCTTTCTCTCCAGGAATCTTTCCTAGGCAGACTGGGTGCTACTCTGAGGAATTAGAAGGGCCAGGCTAGGTCGGAAAATGACCTTTTGGCCAAAGGTACAAAAATAGCTAAAGATACAAAACTGGAGCTCCCACTTCAGTTGCTCTCTGCCTTGCTATAGATGTGATGCTGCCTTTGAGATGGAGCTTCAGAAATTAGACTGAATTTTCCTTTTTGTGGAAAGTTGTAATTCTTGTAAATAAATGCTGGAGCACAGAGCAACTGAACTGTGGCTTTTAGCACCTGTAGTGCCAAAAATAAATATTGGCCTACTTTTGCCCAATAAAAGCTAAGAATAGCTTCTTTGAGCATTCTCAGCTACATATTTAGAATATGCCCTCCACAAAGAAAATATCTTGCAAACACCCTCTAATATTTAAAAAGCTTCATCTGTTGCATGCTGCTTATTTAAATGCCATCTATATAATTTGTGCAGAAATATCCTTATCATGCTTGAGGCCAATGTAGTTGTCTGCGGGGCAAATGATAACAGGTGCATGATGTGACATGATTACATTATTTGCACAATGATATCATACATGTGACATTAATTTGACAGTGGGTTCTTCTGGATGCCACTGGTATGCTAACTTTAAAAAGAATGCCTACCACATAATGCATTTAAAAAAAGAATTAGGTGGATCAGGCATCTGAGGGTATATCAGGGGGTACATGGTGCCCTCAGATATCACCAAGGACAACATTGTCTATTCAGTTTCTCACAAACATGATTAGGTTAGCACAATCAAGAACAATTATATTAATACATTAATGGATAACCAACATTTACATGTGCTGTTCTCTTTGTTGCTTGTACATATATAGTTTGTGCAATATTTAGCAAGGAGGGATATTAATTGCACTGCAATTCTGAAGATATTTGAGATTCTTTGGACTGAAGTTAAGATGCTGTGGCAGAGAAGAACAGCTATCCCAGGCCCCACATAAGTGAGGAAAGAGCAGTAAATTCATTGATGTGATTTGTGTTTTTACTGCATTGGAGGGAGAGAAGTATTTATGGGATTTGGGGCCTCATGTATCAAAATGTCTTGGCTGCAATTGGGGACTATGAAGTTGGTAAAGATCTCATTACTGCAATATTCTGTCTTAGGAAGCACAATGTTCTGTGCCACCTCCATAGAACAGGAATGGGGAAAAAAAGACCACCTCTTCTTCTTTTGCCTTCTGTTTAAAGGTTTTTCCACCCTTGCATATTTGTAACACAAATACAGTTGATATTTCTAGTTCAGTCAAATCCATTTATCCAACTTAACAAGGTGAAAGACAATAGACTTTATTTCATTAGTTTATTCTGATAATCTGAAAAGACGGTTAGGGATATATTACATTCATTTCTATTTATCATGTCTAAATAGATGCTACTATAGAAGTGCTTGACTCAGTATAGTCTAGGTAGTGATCACTAAACTGGAAATGAATCCTGGTGGCAATTCACATATCAGGGAAATTATTTCAGATGACCTTGCATTTCCCTTAGTGAAATAGGTGCACAACTTGGAGTGCTCCTTAATCTACCATTGACCCTAGAGACCCAACTGATATTGGTGACTTTGATCATTCTGAAAGCTTCATCCAGGATATCAGCAAGAACATTTACTATGCAGGAAACAGTTTTGCTCCAACAACATTCTGGTTGGACCATTGTAATTCATTATATTTGAGGTTGGCCCTGAAAATAGTTTAAACCTTCAAGTTCTACAGAAATTAACAATTGGAATTTGATTGAGATACCTTGATGAAACTATCATATCAATTCTTAAAGAACTTCATTGGTTCTCTGGCCTCTACTAATTCTCATAGCGTAAGAGTGAGAGTTACTTATTATCACCTGTAAAACTGTAAATGGCATGGGATCCAATTATTTGAAGGAACACCTTTTCCCATCTTGTCCTCTCTGTGCAATATGATCTTCAAGGATGTCTTCCTTTTTGCGACATCAACGCAAGAAGTGTATTATGTCCTTGCTGTGGTGGTGCCTTGACTTTGAATGCCTTTGCAAAAAGCATGATTGGCATAAATCTTTATCTGTTAGCATCAAATTAAAATGCTCTCTTTAACCCAGCTTTTTAAAATTTAAAATGTGCTTTTTTCCCCTTTCTTTTGCTTAATTGACTGATTTGTCAATTTCACTATTACCAGTCTCAGCAGATACTGGCGTGTGTAAAACTATACTCAGGATCATCAAAGTCTTCCTTTAAGTTTTATTTCCTATGAATTTCAATAAAATGAATTTGAGATGAAATGAATGTTTGCACAACCAATTTGTTAGTTCCTTTTATTGTTAAGCACTTTGCTAAACAGAATGTATATAAGCTAGAAGCTGTATTATGTTTGCAGTGGATCACATAAAGTTAATATTGGGCTGACTATGATGATCCCATAGTCTAAGGTATGTTTTTTATTTGGTTTGCAAAAACTCTTATATTCAGGACTTGAAAAAGTTACAGTATTTGTCATAGTATTTTCACAGGATTATTTTTTAATACACATTAAAGCATTATAGTTTTTAATACATATACCTAATGAGTGTCCTAATTTTGCATACGCTAACTTTTTAAAATGCAGAATTGGCTTTCCAATTGTTGAATTTATTTAAATGGAATATAAACTTGGTTATGAATCAATCAACTAAACTGTATTGCTATCAGCTAACACTAACAAATTGTTTTTAACCACATTGATAAATACTATTACTCAAATGGCAAATACCACTTTGGGTTTATTATACTAAATTCATTTTGCTTCTGTATTATACTCTGAGTTATTTTTAATGATCTCTATTGAATTGCTATAATTAGTCTTGTAACTTTATGCAATGTGAGCTTCAATATAATTTCAAAAAGTTACAAATATTATTTCAGATCTCCAGGGCCTGCATTCCCAGAGGCAATAGGACCACAGTGTGGTTTATGCAGTATTTCAGGATACTTTGAGAAACTGCTTAAACTTTTTCACTTTTTGCACAATACTAATTTAAAATCTGCAAACATTTGGCATTTAAATGGGAAGGGAAAAGATTTTAGCTGAGCTGCATTAGTCGGTGCTTTCACATTTTAATCATTTAATCAACCCCCAAATTAACATCTATGTTATATAATCCACCCCCAGAGAACATACTTTAGGGCTCATTAAATACCTGAGTATTCCTGTATGCTAATGTGATTTTATTTTTTTATTCTTTTTTGCTCTAACATACTTGTATTTCTCTTTTACTATTATAAAATAAAGGAATCTAGGAATTGTTAAAATGTATTGATGTGAAGGCAGAAGCTGGCAAGACCACTGAATGGTTTGAGCCAAGGCAAGATCATTACCAAAACATTGTGCAAGGTTCCTCAATATCCAAGCTGAAAAATGGGTGGTAAACATTTCTTACTACATATGGGTGACAAAAAGAGATACAGGATTTAAATCCAGGAGCTGACATATGAATATGGCTAGATTCCTAGCTAGAGAGCCAATTAGTAGTGGTTAAAGCACCAAGCTAGAAACCAAGAGACCATGACCTTAGGCACAAAGCCAGTGGGTGACCTTGGGCCAGTCCCTCTCTCTCAGCCCTAGGAAGGAGGCAATGGCAAACCATATCTGAAAAACCTTGCCAAGAAAACTGCAGGGACTAGTCCAGGCAGCCACTAGGAGTCAAAAACTGACTCAAAGGCATGCACACACACACACAGATTCCTAGCTGACCTTCCTCATCACAACAGCTCCTTTTGTATTTGCAGTACAAGCAATTTATCTGAGTCTCATCCACTACTTGTGTTCTTAGAGATATATTTAATGCCATTCTCATAATGAAAGTCTTAGAACTGGTAAGCAATAAATGCTTCTAAATTCTTCTAAAGGCAAATGTGATACTATGTTGGTCAAAAAGCCACTCACACTCAGAAAGTGATTTTTAAGGCAATGTCGGTATGCCACCACTCCAGCTATATAGTGTTTATCCACCTACTTGGAGAGCAGCCTTTTGGAAGGGACTTCATTGCAGACTTCCAGTCAAATACATAGGCGAGAAAATGTTAAATCCATTATTTTCTTTCTTGTGGAGGGATGATGAAAGGATTTTTGTGATTCATAATCATGAACAGTGCATTAGAGGCAGAACCTGCAGGTGGGTTACTCAGTTTGGCCAGCTTGGAGGACCCTAGGGTGAACTTCGATTTACTGATTTTCTCTGCAAGCTCTAGACTTTTTTTTTTTTTTGGCTAAAAAGGCACTTTTATGACATTGACACTGTTTACACAGATCTGTAAACAGTAAACGTAACTCAGAAATATTATGATTTAATTTAACAAGGGCTACAGAGACTCAGGAAATGAGTAGCAAACAATCTGGAAAATCTAAAAATGTAGTCAGGCATATCACGACTGCTGACACTGCAGACTGATTTAAAATAAAATAATTGTCACCTTGGAAATCATGGCTTTCTACATATTTTTGTGAGATTATCCTGAAGTTCTGAACCAATTCTTAGATTTTCCATGAAGCAGTAATTAGAAATGCACATTTCAGAATCTTCTAACTGGGGGCATTTCCCTATCTAGTCTCTCAGTTTCAGGTTAACTACAGATCATTTTTGCCACCTTTAAAATGTGCAGGCAGGGAACATGAGCAACTTAGAGCTAGCTCTTCAGGTGATCAGTATGGGAATTTAAAAAACATCATTCAGTCAGTGTCATGCCCCAAGCTTCTGAAGTCCTTGAACAACGAAAATCCCCTTCCCTCACTGAAAGAGCTGATTAAATAAATTGCTTCCATTCTCCCCCACATCTACATTTCCAAAATGTATTTATACTCATTTTCCAAAAAACAAAAACAAAAACAAAACACAAACAGCTGAAGACCCAGAGTAGGGTGAAACAAGAATTCCTACTAAAAGGAAAACAGACCACCCACAAACTATGTGGAACTTCAGTGTTGCAAATGGAAAGATTATTGCAAGGATCTGCAGTCAAAACACGTCATAAATATCTCAGCTGTGTTCTATAATGGGACCCAGCCAAATGTTATATATTTGTGTATGTGTGTGTGTATGTGTGTGTCATATAACAGAAAACAAAACAAAACCCCCTGGATGGAGTTGTGAAGCAATATCTTTGCAACAAAGAGAAACTGTAAAAATCTCCTCTGATTGCTAGCCTTGAAACAATAATCTGTGGAAGCTCAGGAACAAGGAGACAAGATGTGATCAGAAATTCCATCAATGAGGAAACAGATTGCTCACAAGATCTGCAGAGTTTCAGTATTACCAATGGAAAGATCCCTTTTTTGCCATGCTGAATATATCACATTTGAAATAAATCAGCTCAGCTATTAAACATAGAGGTTAGCATGAGAATATAGAAGTCCAGAGCTGATTTGGCCAGGGCAAAGACCTTGTGTAGACGTGCCCAAGAATGAACTTAATCCAGATAGTGGTTCACAAAGTGTGTCCTATTGCTCCTGAACTAGCTTGGACACCAATGTGAGTATTATATAACACTGGCCCTGTACTGTTACTTGTGAGTCTTTGTAGACATTGTAGGAGGAGAGCAGTCTTAGTCTGTGGTAGCCAAAAACCAGAGATGTCTGGTAGAATTTTTTCAGATTAACAAATTGAATTAAAAAACATAAGCTTTTGTGAGCTCTTTCTGATTCATGAATCTTTACTGTTAGTTACATCTGAATCTTAGGGATAGAACAACTTATTATCAACAGGTGCATATAATGAAAGTATGATAGCTACTTTCTCTAGTAAAATAATAGCTTTCAGAAGTGAGGTTTTAAGGATGAAAAATGGTAGGAAGGGAGAAATTATCCTTGTCCTTCCTTCAAATTCATCTGGGGAGAGCCAAGTTGAAGTTTAGAAATTACACCTCAGAAAAGATTACGTGTCCTCTATCTTCATAATCTAATTTCCAAATGTCTTGATCAGGCTGTTTTCCACTAGAAAAATATTTATTATAGATATGGATAGTTAGCAGTCAAATTACAATATCTATTCAAATTGTTGATCCCTAATTGGATTTCTGTTATGGTTATTTTAAATCTGAGAGCTTGAGAATTTCTTATCTTTTAAGTTTTTCAAATATTGTTCCTCTAATAATAGTAGCATTGTTAGAGAAGCTCCTTTTTGCAATACATTTCAACCAGTAGATGGTTTGTTGCATTCTTAATAATTGATTTGTAGTATCTTCCGGTTAAGGGAAGACAGCTTTCGAACTTCTGATCAATGTGGTAGTAAAAATGTAATGTTCCACTACAAAAACATCAATGCTGATTTAATACCGTGTGATTTCCTTTTAATTAAGTTACTGGTATCTTTTAAAATACATGTATTTTCTAGAAATGTTTTATCAAAGGCTTTTGTAACTATTAGGAGAAATGCCTTATTTTAAAAAATGACTCTATTTAGTCACAGAAGAAATAACAATAATTTCTTTTTTGTTCTCTTCGTTGCACTGCCAGGCATAAATGACTTTAGCTATCTACATACAAATTGTTTTGAACTATCTATATATGTTGGCTGTGATAAATATCCTCATGAAAGTGAATTACCAGAAGAATGGGAAAATAACCGGGAATCACTTATTGTTTTCATGGAGCAGGTAAGTAGCAGAGCAATTTGGCTGGTTAGGTTTGGATCTGTGCAATTCTTAACAGGAATGTGTGACATTTGTTTACCATAGTTTCTTGCCAATGATGTTCTCTCAGGAACCAGAAAGTAAAGATTTTGTTTTCATTTTCAGACAAGTGGACATTTCAGTCTGTGACATGAATCAGCATTCTTCATCACCACTCACAAATACATGAATACATATGAGGAAAAAATGCTTCTATAGCCAGTTCTCTGGTTTCAGATTCAGGAGATGTAGAAAAAACCATTTTCATGTTGGTTGGGAATTCTGTTAATTAAGTAATTGATGTGGCCACCTACTCACAGAGCAATTCTTTTGAGACTTGTGGCCAAGTATAGCAAGCAGAAAACTGTTACTTCTTCCATTCTTTGTTCTGTTTCAGAAATACTCCAGATACATTCTCTCTCTCTCTCTCTCTCTCTCTCTCTCTCTCTTATTTGTTCTCTTCCATTGTCACATAACACATACCCTCCATCCAAACACCCAGACCTCTTCCCTTGTTTTTCCCTCTCCCCACCTGAATCATCCTACCACACCTCCTGAATACCTTTTCTTCAGCATTTATTCATTTATTTATTAAATTTGTATGCCACCCGACTCCCAATGACTCTAGGCAGCTCACAAGTGGAGAAAAAAAAAACAGTAAGAAAGAAAAATAAGGAATAAAAGATGGCAAGATTTCAGCATCAGAAGCATCAGAAATTAATTCTCCTGATTCTGCCTCTCACTCTGTTGATTAATTCTCTTTCTAGTCCAAATCTCAGATGAACTGCCTTGGGCCTCTGCTTTTGGATCCTATCCTTTCCTTTTGGCCAGATTTCAAGAAGTGCTTCAGATTCCATTTGCAAGCCATCTTTGCTTTTTTCTAGTATTTCTTTTTCCATTTTTGGCTGTAGATGGGACACAGAAGCATCTGGAAATAAAAAAGGCAGGTGGCTAGAGATCATGTTTTTTTCTTTTTTAATAGCTCATGGAGACCTTAGGGGAGTGTGTATCAAATGAAAGAAGTATTTGGATTTGAGCTCTGGATAAACACTAAATGTTTCGAGTGATCTGCCATAGAGGACAGTAGGAATTCAAAACAAGCTCTTTGTTCTCTTATTTTTCATCCTAGTAAGTGGATGGGTAGCCCATCCTAATAATAATGCACATCACCCAAACCACATAGGAAAGTTGACAAGGGGCTAATTTTTAAAATTGTGGTGTATTTAAAATCCTGTAGGAAGCAACAATCCTGTAGGCTTCTTTCCAGTTTGCTGATACAGCCACAGAAACCTAACAAAGAGCAACACAGCTTGATTTTCTTCAGCACTTCCCATAAACAACAACACAAAATCTACATTTTTCTGGTTACTGGCTTGAGGAATCTTTCCCTTCCTAATACCCTGCACAATGTTTGTATTCACATTTGATAAGGTGCCAGCAATGTTCAACAAACTAAAGCCACATGGTCTTTAGCACGCAGCTTGAAAGCTATCATTAACAAGACCATGTAGAGAATACATACACTACAATTCAGCCAACAAACAAAAGCAGTGTAGGACCTATCCCCATTTGCTCTTTCACCAGGATAGGCAACCTAGCCTCCTTTTTTCCTCTTACGGGGAAAAATTTCGGATCCTCATAATTCCTTGCCCTTTCCTTTGATGCTTGCACAATCTCTGCAGAAGACCACCCCCGCACTTTATCATGACACAGTCATGCTCTGATAAAACCAACCTTCCCCTTGGGTCACATGTACTGCTTTCATCTCACTCCCAGATCATTAACAGCCTTAGGTTCACATCAGATACACTAGTTTCCTCCTTCATCAGACTCTATCCCACCATAGCTTCAAGGTGTATAAAATCTGTAGTAGTGTGTCACTTTGGAGGCAAGATCAGCTGACTTGCTGTGGGTATGATCAGAGTTGTCACTAGCCAATTTCCTCCACAGCCATTTCTCTCCTCCCCCTTCTGACCAATTAGTGGGCAAAGGCTCACAGATATCAGAGAGAGCAGAACCGATTAGAGGGGCCATGCGTCTGCAGACACCGCGGCTCCTTCCAGCACCGCTACTATCTAGGACCGATCTTCATGTATAAAGCTCTCTATATAGAAGTGCTGAACAATTTTATGCCCACTGTTAAGGAATAGAATCACAACAAGTGTGAACTGCAGCAAACTGTCACAATGTAAAATCCTGCTGCTACAATTTCAATGCATTTCCTTCATTCTGCCAACCTCTGCAAGAAATTCTTTCTGATTTATTTTTCATCAGCAATCACATTGCATTCTGTGGCAGCTAAGTATGCTCACTTTTCTGCTTTTGTTTGTTTTTAAGTTCACACTCCCCTGATGGCTGCATAAGCAATGGCAAAATGAAGTTTCCTTTGAGTTGAGCTCAACTCCCTGTGACTACATGGATACATCCATGTAGTTTTCTTGGCAGCAATAAGATGTGATTTGCTCTTATATGCTTCTGGTAGTTTTCCTCAGTTTCCAGTAGCTTACAACTAGACCTTGATGATCTCCCCTATGATTGTTAACCAGGTCTTTCCTAATTTAGATTGAATGAACTGAAGTGTATTAGATCCTGTCAGCTAACTGTAATAAACAATAGTGCTTAAAGTTTAAAGACTAAATGTGAGAAAGAGAAGGGGTTATTTATCTTAACACAGCTTGTTCTCTGTTGTTTGCCTGTTCCTCATGCAATCTTTAAGACTTTGGAGAGTTATCCATGTTCTTATTTGTTTGGTGAAGCTTTCCCAGAGAAGTTTCAAATGTTAAATATTCTTTGTTTGCACTGGCAGGAGTGAAAACTTTTAGCCTTCAAAAATACTATCAAATTATTTTCTTCCCCGCTCCCCTCCTGCCCTGCCCCCCACCCAAAAAAATCAGGCTATTTTAGTTCAGACAAAAAAAAGCTACATTCCTCAAGTCAGTCTAATAAGTATCTTGAAGAAATGGATAGCTTTTTATGTCTCTGACCTTGGCAATATTTTAAAAATGATATTTCAAAGCTTATATTATTCATAGAGAATATGAATCTGATCTGCTTATCTACACATATTTAAGTTATTTCTTAGAGTTTACTCTTTCATCATAAGATGAACTAGAGTGGAAACTCTGGATCAAGCTCTATTAATTCAGTAACAAGTTATTTAATGTCATATCATTAGAGCAGCCCCTGCAAATAGGAGGTTTAATGACTTTCATTATATCACCATTATGTTCCAAACATAATATAATGCAGGTAATTATATTATTAATAAGAGTTTAGAAGAGATATTCAATATGGCTGTGCAAATTCACAGATCAAGGCTACAAAAAACTTTGAAGCAGTGAATCAAATTATACGGCTTTTAAACACTCTGTAGCCTTTTGAAGTATTCCCCAAATTTCAAGTTATTTCTGCTACTTCTGAGATTGTTATTGACTGCCATCCAACTGACTATTTGAACTGAACCAGACTCTTCTGATATTATTGTTGTTGGTGGTGGTTGCACAGCCAGCCAGATGTTTAGACTGGATTTGGCATTTTTATCCACCTATCAAGTCCTTCCCAAGGACCTGAGATAGGTAGATGTTGTTGTTTGATGGTGTTAAAGGTATCATCACAGGATGTAAGCTGTTCCAAGTAAGGCTACCTTTTGCAATTGACTGATGGTGATTTTGTCAATAGTGTTCAAGTGGTGCTCTAGATGCTTTGGGATTGCAGCCAAGGCGCCTATTACTATTGGTACTATCTTTGCTTTCTTTTGCCATGGTCATTCTATTTCTATTTGCAGCCCTTTGTATTTTGTTATTTTCTCCAGATCTTTCTCTTCTATTCTGCTCTCTCCAGGTATTGTAATGTCCACTATCCAGACTGTTTTCTCTTTCTTATCAGTTGTTAAGCCTGGGGTGTTGTGTGGCAGGTGCTTGTCTGTTCGAATTCTAAAGTCCCAGAGCACTTTGTTTTGTGGTCCCACCCGTTCTTGCTTGCAGGTGAATGGTATTTCTTGCAGATATTCCAATGCACCATTGTTGCTACTTTGTCATGCCATTGTTTGTAAGCAGTCTGTGCGATCTTCC